CATTCGGGGTTACCCTACCTCGAAGGTTCAACCCATTCCCATACCACCAGTTTGGACGCCGATTCGACTTTGGATACCCGTCAAATGTCAACGTCGGCAGCTCGGGTCCCTGCGACCTAGCCTACAATGGAAAAATGCGGCTCCTAACACGGTACAGACGTGCCCATTTATTCGTTCGAACGCTGGCCAGCGGCACACTCTGCCCATCGAGACCTAGGTATGCGGTATTCCATAGACTCCGACGAATGCAGCACCAGGGGTCAAAAAATTCAACTTCAAACCCCTCAAAACACACGGTCATGCACGAAACTCAGCACGAGAACGAGAGCGAGACGCCTGCAACTCGGCATGTGCGATAATTGGCCTACCATGGGTGACGGAGCTAGCATCGTCTCGCCAGGTTGTGCAGCTGAGCGACCAAGGGTCCCTCTTCCCGTTCACCATCGACGGCAAAAAGACACTTCGCATCTAGCTTTGGCGCCAGGCATTCTAACGATTGGCCACCACATGACGGATATCCCCAAGATCTATGCCCCATCACACGATGGGATCCTGATGGGTTGTGGAGGCGCTGTAATATGCTTTGGCGCCTACTCTGTAATTTTCCCCTGAAGTGAAAACAGTTGCAATCTCCCGTCTCCATTGGCCGCCAGTCCAGAAAAGACACCTCTCCAAAATGGACTAGCGCCAGGGATGTGCATCTAGGTAGGTGTGTCCAATCCCGGCTCAAATCATGTCGAATCTTTGAAATCAGGGGCGCGATCGCCCTTAGGCCTTTCCAGATCTTGACGCCGTCAGGCCATGTCCGCTTAAGATCTCAAGGAGGCTCAGCCTGCGGATTCCAACAGCGGAGGCAACCCAGCTCCCTCAAACTATGATACGGCTGTCCATGGACGGGAAATAACGCGTATTACTCCTAGCGTGTGCTTTCTCCCCAACAATATGAAAAAAGAAGAAGAAAAAAGTCATCAGAACTACAAGGACACATAGAAGGATGAGCGCTTTCTCGCAATTGCTCTCTACCACGTTTGAAGGTTTTTGAAGAAAAGACCGCGCTAGCCATTACTCTGTATCCGCACCTGTGTTTCTCACACCAAAGACGTGCTCACGACAACGGGATCATCACGATCTCCACGATGTGTTGTTAAGGATGCGGCTGCTTAGCTAGTGACCGCCAGTCTACTACGTACTTTCCTGGCCGGACATCAAAGGCAGTGATCAGCGCAGTGGTACCTACCTTACCTGTTTGGTTCGACAGTATGAGGATGGACCTCGCACTATAATCACTCGGCCTGCAATAGAAGACAGTTCACTCAGCCGCGCCCATATTCGCGGCTATTTCGGGAGTGCACCCATCCTGGAAACGACTACCCTAGTCGCCCGCTACTCGCTGGGCACGTCGACATACTCATTTCCTTAATCATCAACCAATATTGAAGTGGGCAGCACCGCCTCACTGGATCACCAAGCCGGAGGTGACTTCACTTATTAGCAACCTGGCAGCCTGGATGTTCCAACTTCCATCAGGCATTCGCCAAGGCTCCAAATCAAATCACGCTGAGTCACAATCAGCGAAAGGGTCAATTTTAAAGTTGCCATCTGCCGCATTTCACCGGCAAGCATCACCCCAAACCACCAGCTGAGAAGAGGAGTGTTTGAGGCTGAAAATCTAAAGCTGCCACGGTGCCCGACGCTGTCAAATCCGATTTCTAGATGAGTCTCGCAACGAACGAGAGAAGATCATGGCCCCTTGACTGCCGGATCAACACCGGTCGAATTTGATACATGGAACAGACGGCGAAGGAAGGGCGCGCGAATGCGTCCAACAGACTCAGTGCTCCAAACAACTCTGATCTCTCCAGGACCGGGACGTTGGGCGCAACCCGCTTCACGAATCCGTGACCGAAGCACACCAATCTCAAGGAACGAAGTCATCCAGCTCGGCTAGTCATGGAGAACTAACCAGTGCTGGCCGAACGATACTATTGGCTATCTCGGACTTCTCAATAGCCACACTGCAACAGAGCAAGCAGCCCGAACTTCATGGGCTTGCGCGAGAATCCAGACAGTTTGGGAAGCATCTCGGGTCCCGGAGTCGTTTCGTTGATACTCTCCTCTTTTAACAGCCTTGCCAATGAGAATCAAAGTGCAGACATCTTAACCGATTAGGTTTGTCAGGCTCCAAAGGTAGAGCTCTAGGTCGGCAATCATTTCAATATTGCCGCCTAGGAGAAGAACCCAGATTTCTTGGCTCCGGAATTCCCTTCTTCTGATGCCTGCGAGCACTCTGAATTGTCGCCAAAGTTTGGGGAGCAATCTGCGCCGAGTCGATGGCACATTGCGGGGTTCAGCGCCATTGAAGAAGACATGCATGTGAAATGATTGCGAGGTTGTTTCGCAAAGAGAAAGTCGCATAGAGAGCAATACACAAACAAGAAAGAGCATTAGCCCAGACTCTAATAGACAGATATCTAAGGAGGCGGGCGTAGCAGGAGACTAAAGGGAGCGACTGCGTTGAGAGGTCATCGACGTCCGACTTTGGGCAGAGCGAGAAAGGCATAGCTTTGCTGCAGAGTTGGGTTCGAGCCCACGGCCCCACCCGACAAGCGTTCGTTCTGTTCTAAAGATAGTGTCACTACTCCGTACCGCACTCTGGGAACTCAACATAGGACAACTCTAACCAGGGAGAGCCAGCAGCAACATGGTCACGGGGCCTTGTCTCTCTCTTCAATCTCTTCTAGAGAAGAGCAGCAAATGGTCCCCTATGGCGTGGTTAATGCCGCTATTTTACGAACCGGCCAGTCCCAGCCATCAATGCTACTGACGCTAGGTGCCGAAATATGGCCGCGATGATACGGATAGTTGTCGATGAAAGAGGAAGTCAAGTGGCGGGAGACGCATTAGTCGGCAATCGCACGCACTACAGTAAGAAACCAAACATCATGTTACCGGATTCTTATTCTGCTGCCTGCTGTCAGGGCTTGGTTTTTGAGGCTATTAGGGCTCCGAAGTCGAATACGAGGTTCGCTTCCCGTTCCGTTGCAGACCCTGGGCGATGGCTAGCGGCCAAAAACGATACTCTTTTGGCCGAAATAGCCTCAACCACGTCACATTTCCCCGTGTCCGGCATTGCCATGAGACGATTCGGTCTCTGCCGTCGACGATGGCGTTCATCCGCTACTACATGCTCATCCGCAACTCTGACCAGAATCGTCAGCTTGCAGGCTGCGAGGAAAGTTGTGGTTGCTTGATCATGGCCACTACGACTGCGGTCTGCAGGTCATAAGGCCAAATCTTGCTGGGGGCAAAAACTGATTCATGTGTAATTCTTCTTGACTCTTGTGCCACCAGTCATGCAGCGTTCTTCTTTGCAGGACCTTCTGGAATCAGGCGGAGCTACTAGGAAGAGCCTATGAGTATTCCAAAAAAACGTGCTTCATAAGGCTGAGTGTCAAAATGGTAAGAAGGCCCTGAGGTGCTTACAACATACATGACCGGAGGTGACAAGGTGATTATGTGACGCAATGGCTTGGTGGGAAATACCGGGGTGGGGGAAGGGAGACGCCGGACCTCGTGTCTGCAGACGAGGTGGGATGTGCGGTCTGCATTCTCGTTCGTCGTCCACCGACCAGGGTCGCCGTATTGGTACTGGCGCCGGACCAAGGCGGTGATGGCTGTACTTGCTTCGAAACATTTGCCCATGCAGATAAGCTGCGCGCCTTCGCGCAGTTTGGTGAGAGGCAAAACAGAACAGCAAAAGCTCACCCAGAAGGCGTCTCGTCTCACCGGGAATGGTCAGGTGAGATGTTTGCCCTATTCGGAAAACAGTTCGCACACAGTACGGGAACACTGACTGTGTCTAAGCCGCTGAGGCCGTTACCAAAACTCTTTGAGCTCAATACCCGCCACTACGAAGGAACATGCAGGATAACTCAAATTCATCTGCATGTCTCCATCGCCCCAGATCTTGTTTGCTGGTTCCCGGTAACTAGCTGACACACCACCTGACGAGGTACCCAAAAAGCTCCCACCCCTCCCCTTCAGCTGGGGTGGGAACTACCTGGGTCGAGGCATCAGGGCAACTCGTCGCGCACACAACCTCTGTACCGTTCCCTTCCATTGCCCTTCTTCTCCTTCTTTTCTGCTTGTCAAATCGGGGTATAGGCCCATCTTCCCGTCCGTCTCTTACGCACGCTTACTCACGAGCGCCGTTCGATGACTTGACGAACAAGGCCAGCCCCCCCGGATACTAGCGTTGAGAACAAATGCTTAGCTGAGCCGGGCGGGCCATAATCGTGTCTTCTCGATCCATCGAGTCCATAGAGCAGGATCTCCGGCGTGTGGCTCTTGTGTGGGAGAGTGAGCTCGCCGGGGGGGGGGCAAGAAAGCCGTATCCCGCCTCCCCATATAAGGAGGGCGGCCGGCGGCGGCTCAGACCACAACGAGAAGAAGAGGCTCCGGATTTTCCTCATCATGTCCAGCAACCAACAGCGGAGCACCGCCCGAACCGAAAAGACCATACGGGTGATCACCACTATCCTACCGCTTGGAACACCCAACGACGCGGAAAGCCGTTGCCCGCTGCGGAGTTCCACTCGTCCCAAAAGCGGAGAGCCGCAACCGTTCCCGCTACCGCGCCGGACCGGCGACAACTTTCCCGTTCATACCGGACCAGCCATTTCTTACAGCACAACAGTCCGCCTGCTGCTCAAACTGTCAGTGGTCAAATCGAGTCAGGCAAAAGGGGGGGAACGCCAGCATTCACGCCAGAGTCATTGTCACTCCACCGTTCGTGATCGTGGCTTGCTCGTAAGCAATACTACGCAGCAAAGCAGAGTGCCAATAACGAGACAATCAAACGTAAGCACGTTGCATCTCACTGCTCTTACACGGGCCAGTATACCACCCATATTCGGCATCACCGGGGGCCAACGTACCTCAAACCTTACATCAAAGCTACACACCACCAAGTGATTCTGTAGGCTACCGACTCGGCCACCATGTCGGGTCAGTCCAGCGCCTCATCGCCCCTTATATCGACCCGGCGCCGCGCCTGTACTGCGTGTCAGCAAGCAAAGCGCCGTTGCGACCAACGGCTTCCCCGTTGCGGCCGGTGCACCCAAAAGGGGTTCGAGGACTGCAACTACCCGTCTCTCGAGGCTGCAGTGGCAGCGGCAGACTTTAATTTCTTCACCGATGTTCTCAGCGGCTCCGCGGGCACGCCGACTGATTCCCTTCACAACATCATGCCCGTTCCCGTCGTCCCCGAGACTGACAACCCGTGGGGTCTCTTCTACAACAACAACAACAACGCCGCCGCGGCCGCGCCGACACCCTCACCTTCAATCATGACGCCCATCAGCGACTGTCTATCTCGAGACGCCGTCATGTACTGCAGCGAACAGTTCCGGTCCTACCCACGGCGGTGGGTGAGCCAGAACGGCGTTGCCCCTTTTATCCACCCGGCGCTCTACCTGCCCACCACGAACGGGGCCGACGGCCTGCCCCCCGTGCTCCAGGACTGCTTCTGCGCGTGCGCGGCATACGCTGCAAAAAACGACGAGAACGCGGCGCTGGTCCTCGGCGTCGTGGAAGCCAAGGCCACCGCGCTGCTCTACGTCCCCGAGCAGGCGGCGTGGACGCTGCCACAGCAGGTCGCGAGCCTACAGGCGTTGGTCATGTACCAGATCATGCGCTGGTTCGACGGCGACATACGCCAGCGTGTCCTCGCGGACTCGGTCGAGCCGTTGTTGGCGACGTGGACGTCTGCGCTCCAAGCCCGCGTCGGGACCGCCGTCTTCTCGGCAGACGAGGCTATCCCCCCCGCCGGCATCCCGGACTCTCACCTCCCGCCGCAGCACCAGCAGTCCTCTTCGTCAACGGCTTCGTACCCGCAGCACGACCTCTCGCCGGACCCCTCACGCTCAAACACCCCCGGCGCCCGCCTCACAAGAGAGGAGCTCAACGCCGCCTGGCGGCGTTGGCTGATGGCAGAGTCGATTCGTCGGGTACTCGCCATGGCGCACCTCGTTAGGGCAGTTTACTCTACGGCGAAACAGGTTGGTGTTGGTACCGGTGGCGGCGGCGGCGGAGGATACGGCAGCAAACTCGGCGGCGCGGGGTCAGGGGGAGGGGCCGGGCAACAACACCTCGGCGGCGGCGGCGGCGGTGGTGGTGGCGGTGGCGGTGGCGGCGGCGGCCATCAGCTCCCACATCACCACCCCGTTGGTCTCGCGGGCATGAGCTTCACGGCGCAGGCGCGGTTGTGGGCCGCCACCACGGCGGAGCGGTGGAATCGGTCCCGCGAGGGGGACACCGCGTGGTGGGTCGGGCGGATGGACTTCTCGGGCCTGCTCGCGCTCGCGGACCCGCGGGAAGTGGACGAGTTTACCGTGATGATGGGCGTTGTGTGTCGAGGGAAAGACACGATTGAGGATTGGGTTACGCATGGGCCGGGGGTTATGTGAGAGAGAGAGAGAGGTATTCGTTGCGACAAGGGCGGTGACACGGTAGCCGGTATACCCTTGACTTGAGTCTTTAATGAGATGTTGCCTGATAGAATAGAAGAGGGGGGAGGGAGCAAGTGTGGGGGAGGAAGGACGGCTTTACAGATTCCATCGCGAGATAAGCATTTGGGCGGCCTGGCGTTCTAGGGGGGGCTGTTATAGGTGGGTTATAAAAAGGGGAAATCATTTACACACAAACTTGACTCAGCATCTAGCAGCATGGTTCCAAGGACACACAGCAACAGGACGGCAGGAAGAGCGCAGTACCTGGCATGTGGGTTTGATTTTCTTTCCTCGGTTGATTAAGTGGCATTGTTTTCTTATTCTTCTCTCTATGTTGGTTTATACATCACTAGGGTGGGGGGGCCTAGGGGTAGCATAGCGTTGCATAATTGTAGATTTTAGACTCTAGTTTATTATGAGTATGATGATGATGAGGTCTAGATTGATGGCCTACAGAGTAGAAGCAAGATGCACAGGAATTCTAGTTCATCACCTATAAGTACTGTGATGTGATTGAGGGGCAAGTCACTTGGGACATCACTCCTCTCGAACTATCTCACTTATCGGTCTACTTTGGAGCTATCCAACTGGGGGCACATCTCTTGCCGTTAAGCACACGCACAGCAAAGAAAAAGCACATGGTATAAAAGCAAAGACTTGGAAGGTCCATGTCTGATTCATTAGTCATGATCTATTGTTGCAGGCGTTGTGACTGCAAATGCCTTTGGATTCTATGTCATTTCTTTTTCTCCTCTGTCTGTCCTCATGGCCGCACTTGATATCGGCGATGACCCTTTGTCACCAAGAACCAGAATAGGCAAAAAAAAAATTGATGAGAGGTAGTCATGTCTTGTAAAAGAAGGCCGCGCCGTGCCTCCTCCGCCGGCGCAGGTTACGCAGCCAGGCTAGGACTATCTCCTCTCAAAAAACGGTGGGCGCAAAATGGTGCAGTGCGGCCTCGTCGCCCAGGGAGCAAAAGCTTGGTCTTTGTTGTCAGAACAGTCCACTTTCTTTTAGGCACCCCGGCTTTTGAACGAAATGCTGCAATGCGTGGTAATGGGCCCCTTATTCCAGAGGCCAGCTATCCGAAAAGGTAGCACATGTGATGGGTTGGTTGCTGATGACGTTGGCGCTTAGCACATCTTGTACTCACACTCGCCCTCAGCGGCACGAGTGGGGTCCTCGGTCAAGAACTTGTACTCGATCTTGATGTCGAGGTCACGGCGGTTTCTCTCGTTGGGCTTGACGTGCAGGGTACCCTCGACCTCCTCCCCGGTCTGCATCGTGATCATATCCTTGAGGTAGAAGACAGTCTGCTTCCAGTGGGTGTACTTGGTGTGGGGACCGGTAGAGAAGCGGATAGGCTTGTGGGCAGCAGTGAAGTCGATGTCGAACCAGGCAACGAGGGCGTGGATGAAGTCATCACGGCGAGCGGAGAGACGGAAGGGGCTGGTGAAGGCGAGGTCGGCAACCTGGCACTTGTAGAGGTCCAAGGTCAGGACAGGTGTGGGGTCCGTAACCACCGCTTTCATCTCGACCGTGTCGACTAGGGGCTCGGCAAGAGCAGTAGACTTGAGGGGGCTGTAGTCAAAGCCGTACACGTTGTCCCAGACTATCTTGTGGTCAGTGTCTGTTCGCATCACCCAGCAAAGCTTCGCTGAGGCGGTAGTGACGGGTGACATTGCAACTTACATCCGATCTTCTCGTCCTTGTAGTCGCCATCCTCGATACCAGCAACGAAGATGGTGGCCTTGTCGGGAAAGATGAGGCCGTCGGGGTTCAGGTAGCGGTCACGGGCGTAGAGAACGGTGTCCAGCATGGACTCGTAGAGAAGGAAGTAACCCATCCACTCGGAGATGATGATGTCGACCTTGGGGAAGGGGAGCTCGACCTCCTCCATCTTACCCTGGATCAGGGTGATCTTGTCGGACATTCCGTTGACGGCGACGATCTCGCGCGCCTTGAAGATGATGGTGGACATGTCGACACCGATAACGTGCTTCGCGCCGGCCTTAACGGCGAACCTATGCGAGCACACCTCGTCAGCAGCCGAGCTCCACGCGCGTGGGTGGATTTTTGATTGAGACAGCTGACTACATACATGGACAGAATGGCGGTACCGCAGCCGACATCGAGGACGACCTTGTCCTTGAAAAGGTGCTTGTTCTGAACAATGGCGTTCATGTAGGAGCGTGTGCGGACCTCATCCTTCAACATCTCCTCGTGGATGCCGTGGTGGTCGTAGCTGTACAGGATCGCGAGATTAGCCTTGGTTCTGGGTTGCGCTGGACAGCTCTGCAGCTCGTCTTCAGCTTGTGGCATACCTCTTGAAGTAGTGCTGCTCAGAGTGCTCCATGCCCTTGAGCTTCTGCTCGGCGGCATCGACCTCCATGTTATCGCCTCCCATTGTGATTGTTGGTGTTTTCAATTCTTCTTCTGCGACGACTTTTACCGTCGAAGCTTCTCTGGAGTTAAGAAGAGGGATAAGGAGAGCACGGGTCGACTTGGGTATGTGTAGGATGTATCGCTAACACAAAAAATGAATGAGGAGGGAAGAGAATTTCGGGGTGGGAAAGAAAACACGAGAGCAAGTCGCGCGGTGAGGAAGAAGGGAAGGGAAGGGTCGGCGGGGCAGGCTGGGTACTGGACCGGGGGAGACTTTGAACACGATCGGGCACAATGGACCTGACAGAGACTGGAGGGGGAGGGACCGGCAAAAAAAATAATCAATCCTGATTGCGCCTCGCAATGCTCGTCACCGCCTGCACCCTGCATCGGGCCCAGTCTCCACATCCCACTCTGGGCCAGACCTTTGCCGAGTTTTTTTTTTTTCCCTTTTTTTTTCCCTCCCCCAGCTGGCACTGGCAGACCCTTACTGCCGGCCCGTCCCTCGCCAGCGCACCATATTGGCGGTTTAAAGGTGTACGGGTCCAATCCAATGGAATGGACCTTTCAGATTCCCCAAGCTTAGGTTCCAAAGAGGGGCAATGTCGCTCGGTTCTCACCCACGACAATTCAGATTCACAATGTCAGACGAAGCTTGAAAAGAAAATCGTCACACCTTTTTAGATATCCCAAAAAGTTCAAAAGCATTCATCCAACAAAAGCCATCCATCCAACGCCACGCTATGCTAACTACCGTTGATGAGTATGCCTCGGCCCTCAACACCACCTCTCATGGGGCTCTCTCCACTTGACACCAAGGATGTCGAAGATCCTCCTCTCATCCTGACCTTCCACCAGCTCGCCTTCAGTCAACTTCGCCCGTCCGGAACCTCTCATCACATTCTTATAAAGACCTCTCTGGTTGAGTCGCATTCCCTTCTTCGATGCCAGCAGTCGAATGCTGCGGTTGAAAATGTCATTGCCTGTAAAGTAGATCAGTGCTGCCCCAACTTCGGCTTCTGGGACCACTAGGAAATCCACGCGTCTCCAGATTTTCCGAAAGTCTTGGTCGTTGAAGTCTTGAATCTTTGGCAGAACGCAACAACCGTGCCATTTGCTTCCGTCATCGTCTCTAGACCCCGCAAGTCGTGCGACGAGGAACTTTTGCGCTTCAAGGACCCCGATCAGCTGATGTAGGAAGGGAATCAGTTCCGATGATGACTTGGTCCCTTTCTTCGTAACGATAAAGTCGATATCCCCACTGCTCTCAGCACCGCGACGGTAACTGCCTCCTACGATGATTTGAACAGTAGAATCCACCTTAGCCGCCTCTGACCTGACCACCTCCCCGAGCATCTTCATCTCAGCCCTGGGAATGCGGGTGTTGAGGTCATCAAAGTGGTCAATACCAATTCGTTGGTTTACAGTTAGCTTTGCTTTCTCTCTGAGATCGTCGAGTGTTCGGAATCCCTGAGCGATGAAATGGCTAGCCTGGATGCTGCCAACGCCGTATATCTTCAGGAATGTCTGCAGAACCTCATCCATCGGCTCCGACTCTGCATTTTCCAGTCGTTTGAGCCGATTAGTGGTAACAATCTCCTCGATCTTGTCTGCCAACCTTTGGCCAACACCAGGTAGTCGGATCGCTTCCTCAGCTGTCGATATCTTGGCGGGCTGCCGCTTGAGTTGTGTTATGGCTTTTCGGTATGCAATGGGTCTCCAAGTATCGTTGATGCGCTCGTAGTAGCTGCACATCTGCTGCAAAATCTCGATTGTGCGGAAGTTAGGGTTGTGCTGATCGCTTCCCAGGGTGCCTCCTTTATGACATGTGAATTTGTCTTCCCAGGTCATATTCTTGCGTCCCCTGGTCTTTCCGACGGCTCTTTTGTTTCTTCGACGTTCCACATCCGAGCCTTCGCTAACTGAGCCTTGTTCATGCAACTGTGTCGAGGTCGTCGGATCATCTTCATCGTCATCATCATGCTCCAGTGGCAGATCTCTAAACTGCTGCAGCTGAGAAATCAAGTGTTCAAGCTCATCTTCTGATGTAGAGTTCGGCTTCTCAACAGTGGCGGGAACATCGCCATAAAGACCGGCAGCCTCACATGTACCCGTTGGTCGCAGAGCCTCCGTGATATCTCTCAGCACGGAGGTTGACGCGGTATCGGTTGTATTTCCAGGCATCCTTCCAGAAGACTCTTGACTTCTGGATGGAGTTGACGGCGGGGGGTCGTAATCCCACTTGTTGTGATTTGTCTGGCGCTTCTTAAGCGGCAAATCTTGCAGCTTTGTTACGGTCGAAGGCTGAACAGTCTGAGCTGTAGTTTGGGGTTCCGCCGAGGTTGACAAGGGCGGGGCTTCAGGGCAGCCAGATACCTGATATTGCTTCTGGTTTGCGTTTAAGAGTGTCTTGAACCTGATACAGTCCAGCGGAAAATCTTCATTCAAGACGGTGAAAGATGACGCCTCGGTTGCCGAGCGAAGTACAGACTCGATACTCTTCCAGTCGAGGCGCCGGTCGACAATAACATGTGTCGCGTCTTGAAGAGATCTGGTCCACAGGGCACCGAACTCTTGCGCTTTCCGGATCCGAATCTTCCTGGCTGGCGCAATGTCATCGTTTGGAATGAAGTAGAATCGCAATTCACGAAAAATCTGCTGCGCCTCGGGCACGACCTTGATGGCGGGTTCTCTCTTCCTCTTCTTCATCGCGGCGATGGAAGGCGAGTTGTCCATGCGATGCGGCGAGACGTGTCTCGTAAGAGGAAATGGTGTGGTAGTGCTTCTGGTGAGACTCGTCAAGGGTTGAAGTGGTGGCCTAGCCAAGGTTTCGGGAATAGGCGTGTCTTCAACGAAGCTGAGGTCGCCAGTAGGAGCTTCCTTCCTTCCGGGACCCTTGATCTCAGCAAGGGGAGTCCGCTCAATGACTTCCTTCGTTTTCAGTTCCGCGAGCGGCGCTGATACCGGAGCTGAAGAGGTCCGCCTGGGGCTTACGCGCCGTTGTTGTTCTTGTTGTTGTAGAGGTAGACACGGCCGTAGCTCCGGCTGGATTCTTCCCCGCAGTGGCTGGCGAAGTTGCGCTGCGGCTTCAAACGCTTTCAGCTGTTGTCTGTGACGCTGCTCGGCCTCTTGAAATTCATCATCGTCCTTGCCGTCCTCGCACTGTCTGCCGATAGATTCCAGCTGGCGGAAAAAGCGCGCTTTGTCTCTGAAGGAAGTATTTGCATCGGCCATTGTGGCGGTTATTGTCACAAAGGCGCACGGGATACTTTTGCTGGCGTTTTGTGAACCAAACTCATGTCGGTGGCGGTACGTCGCTGTTGCCTAGGTTCCTGGGACAATGGCAGCGGAGATGGATGAAGGGCAGATAAGGCCTGAGTGAGTTTGACGGCGACACACCCACCCAATGCGGAAAAGGGTAGCTCAAGGGATGGTGAGTTGTCATCTGACGACGTTGTGTTAATGGAAGGGATGGATGTCATTCAAGGACCCATGAATAGAGGTGTTGAAAATGGCCAAATCTGGCTGGTGTGGGTGCCCCTGGGCACCGTCCGTGGGGAAGGTGCCGCATTAGCGTGGTGGCCACCTGCAAGTCATCCAATGAAGGCGGCCCTCAGCACTGACAGTTTCTCAATGTGAGGAACACGACGCAGGAGCCATGGGTGTCCAATAGGTAGGTAGAGGACCTAAGGATATCTAAGGTACCTTCAGGCTGGTGCTTCCGAGCGGGTTTGACGCCCGCCAGGTTGAAATCGATCGACCCAAGCACCCAACAAGAGGGTTCTGCAGCAAACGAGGCTCGGCTTCGGTCAGCAGCACGGGGACCTGCAGGATCTGGTGGGAGCTTCATCAGCAATCCTTCGTGCCAGTTGCTGCGGTGAATCTACTTGCCCTCCTTACATCGCTCTCGATCAACTTAACGGCCCCATCCAACTCAAACCAGCTCTACGGATAGTACGGAGATATAACAAAAGAGACCCACCCTTGTTTGGCAGAAGTGACAACAAAAGACCTTTCAGTCTTAAAACTAGCACTGAGCCAATGTTTCGGACATTCAAGCTGTACTAAATTTGTGTTTGTTTGAATTCCTGGTCTAAAGGACGAAAGAAATAACCCAAAATCGTTACGGGTCTGTCTTGCTTTTTTTTCTTGACATAATTACAAATGCAGAAGGTCAGGGGATTAGACCATCTCAATCTTCGCTTCCCATGGTATCACCGCGGCTTAAATCCAACTAATATATACAAAAAAAACATTTTCCTCGTGTCCTCATTCTTCAAGGCTTGGCGTTTACTAAGCAACCGTACCGTATCGTACAGCTGTTCTGCGGCTCGCATGACTCGGCAACTGCAAGCTGAGTCTTTCCCTAGTTGGACCAGCGACAGTGCCTTGAGCTGAATTTGGTGTCGTGATATACAGCGGGGCCGTGTCGAACTAAGAGCTTGCGCAGAATGAACGTGCCGAGGAGGGGTAGTACGCCGGAAAAATACTTCAGTGGCTTCTGCACTCATCGGCGCTTCATTGGGCGTGTCCGAATTGTGAAGGGTATTGTGATGATCCGGCAAAGTTACGGGCGTCCATCAAGGGAATGCTGTTGTTCTTCTCTATCGGCTGGAAAGAAGCCATATCATTGGAATAACGGCTTGCAGCCTCGTTGTCCATGTCGTTCAGTACTTCTCTGGTAAGCTCGACGTAATCGTACGCAAACTCGCCAATCTCGGCATCGTCGATACCTAGAATTTCGGCCTCTTCGGTAGCACGGAGACGAAGGCCGGGGATCATGTTCATGATGAACAGGATGGTGCAAGTGCCGACAAATGAGTAAGCGCCACCACTGAAGGAGTCGGCCAACTGGTACCCAAGCTGGATCCAGTTGTGGTTAATCCAGCCGCCATCAATCTCGGAAACGCCGTCGAGGTGAGCGACGTAGTCGGCAGCAAAGAAGGCGGTGCAGATGTTGCCCACAAGACCGCCGATGCCGTGAACGGCGAAGATGTCGAGGGCGTCATCGATTCTGAGGATAAACTTCAGCTTAGTCGCGTAGTTGGCGAAGGCTGCCCCAAGAACGCCGAAGGGCACGGCCGCCCAAACGGGGACATATCCTGTGTCGAGTCAGCTACTCGAGTCTTGCATATTTCTTCTCGCTGTGAAATAGGCTTACCGGATCCCGGGGTGATGGAGACCAAACCGGCAACTACACCGGAGCAGAAGCCCACGGTAGACCACTTGCGTTCCAACCTGTAATCCAGCACACACCAAGTGATACCGCCGACGCAAGCTGCCAGGTTGGTGACAACAGCGGCAAGGACAGCGCGAAGGTTTGCAGAGAGGGCCGAACCAGCATTGAAGCCGAACCAACCGACCCAGAGGAAGACGGTACCGATGACAATATGGGTGACATTGTGAGGCCGGTAGTTGAGCTCGTGGGTACCGTGACCACGACGTTTGCCCAGCATCATGGAGTAGGCGAGGGCGGCCGTGCCAGACGCGATGTGGACGGGTGTACCTCCGGCAAAGTCGAGACCACCCATCTTGTTGGACCATCCACTCGGGTTCCACGTCCAGCAAGCAATCGGGTCGTAGATGACAGTCGCCCAGATGAACATGAAGATAACGCAGGGGAGCATGCGGCCACGTTCAGCGACGGCTCCCGTCGCAAGAGCAACGGTGATGCTGGAGAACATGCCCTGGTAGACGGCGAACAGAAGGTCGGGGAGGCGGCTTGAGCCAACTGAGGGATGGGCGAGGACATCCTTGAATCCGAAATTTGACAAATCGCCAATGAACGCGCCGGCGGAGTGAGAAAAAGTCAGAGAGTAGCCCCAGAAGAACCATTGAAAACTGGTTACTGCCGTCGCCATGACGGAAAGCCAAATGAGAGAGAGAGCTGATTTTCTTCTCGCCAGTCCTGAATAGAAGAAACTATAGGAAGTCGAGTCAGTTGTCAATTCTCAAAAGAAATCCGGTATCAAGCGTTCGTACCCGACGCCCGGAATCATAAGCAACACCAGCGCGGTGGCCGTAATCATCCACGCGATGTCACCAGTCTACGGTTTCTTGTCAGTCGGCCATACAACGGAAAATAGGTACCGCAAAGCATGTATGAAGATGACATACCTCATACCAAATGTTCAGATCCTCGGTGAGAGAATCTCCTCCTGTGGGACCAGAGCCGTTGTACGGTATGAGATGCACATAGTTCAGGTTGTCGAGATCCAGGGGGGATGCCATCGTGAGGGAGCGTCGTCGCTATCTTATCGCCGAATTGGCAATTGGGGTCTGAACGTAGTCGTAGATGGTATCGAGAGCACCACCTCACCTCACCGGAGATTCGCCAGTTGCAGTCGATGGTCGATGATTGACGTATTAAGAAGCCTGTCGGCAGGCTCTCGTATGAGCGAAGCCTCGAAAATTGAGCGCAAAGGGCCGTCGCGGGGTGTTCAGGAAAGACTGCAATGGATGGAGCAACGAAATGCGCAGTGTCGAACGGGCGTGGGATGCGCGAAGCTTATGAATGTGGATGCCCCGACGCCCCGACAGTCGACGCAGAGTTGCGTTGCGGGCGGCATGGCGACTAGCCCTGCTCGTCGCGGGCAAGCTAAACGGGTACGGCAGTGCTCGCCCGACGCGGCCAAAAGATCCAGAGACTCAACCTTGAAGACTCAAGAGAGCGAGTGGCCACAGGCTGCGGCTTGGGACTGCTGGGCCATGCCACGCAGAGATGCCCTGTCCACCCTGGGCCAAGACCGCCGGCTAAGGACTAGAGGGGCACGGGGGGGGTGGGCCAGAGTTTTCTCGGGGGTGAGGTGAGGGTGGTGCGTGTGTGTGTGGGAACCCCTGCAAGAATGTAGCAGGGCTCCAACCAGGGCGGGCCGCGAAGAAGGCCAATCGGTAACGAGTACAGATACAACTGAGGTGTGCACTTAGGGGGGAGAGGGCATGGGGGTGGAGACCTTGTCGGTTGCGACGCAGATCCACGGATGCCTTCCATTCTCCTTCTCTATTATTGTGAACGGATATCCGTATGTACAGATGCGGATGCTTCCTGAATCCTACTTCTCCTTATTTCCCAGAGTCGGCGAGCAACCTGATGCAACGGGGACGTAGCAATTGTGCATGTTCCAACACAGAAGCACAGGCTGGGCAAAGCAATTAAATGGTGCGGGAACAAGAGAAAGAGGCAATAAGAAACGCCACGGTCAGAAAATGGGGTTGACCCAAGGTAGGCAGGTTTCAGAGACCAGAAGAAGGCTTGGGGTTTTGATAAGACCCGACGACCTCAAGACACAACGGCTTCGTTACCAAAGGGGATGGGCAGCCCGTTTTCGGTCTGGCGTGGTCGACTCTATACTTCAGTCCGGCTCCCATACCAGACCGGATCTTTGCTGGTTCGTCAGGCTTGTCAGGCTTGTCATCAGACGGCGACGGCGACGACCATGACGAGGCCTTTCCTGCGTTCTGCGTCTGTGATATTAGTGTGTCAAGGTTCGTCAAATAATTGGTCTCAAAATCATCTCTTCCCGTCCACTTGGATGAAAGTCGCAGTCGAGAGAAAGGCATGTGCTTCCAGCTCACTCATCTGACCACGCCCTCCTCCCCCTGTCCAACCAGGATCGAAATCGCCATACCATAGTAGTATGGTTATTGGTGGGGGATGAATGGGGGAGGAGAATCCGCAGGCCATTGTTATCAAAGCAAGGGTCTAGCGTAGCTTCAGATAACAGCCACGATTACTGCGCTCTAACGCATTAGCCAGTTGCCGGCTGCTTCTTGCCTTGTACAAGGTCTTTTGCTTGTCCGTAAGATGTTTGGGCTAATGCTGGCTCGACCATTGTACGATACGGATGCACAACCACTTGGCATCCTGTACCCGTACCGGCACAGCCATAGCAAGACCCCTCGCTCGCAGTACCATTGTTTCCCCCGAATACACGAGACGTTTTGGTCGAACTTTGCAGATTGCCTCCCTTGAAACCTTTCAATGACCGAGCATGCCGGAAGAGAGCCCCTGACGTACGCAATAGTCACGGCCAGCCACCGGATGCCGCATCAAACACGGTCGGGGTAGGATCCGACGCTGTGCCTGCAGGTGCCGGCAGCTCGTTATTTCGCACTCAGCGGATGATAATTCATAGATGTCATCAACAACATGGCTCGCCGTGTTGAATCGACCAAACGGCAGGTCCCAAGGGTAGGGGGCGGCGTAGCGGACCAGGGCAACGTGCGTGAACGTGCGTGACACCGCTGATGCTGATACTAAGCAGGAGGATCGAAAGGGTAGAGCAACCAACGCGTTGCAGCGGCCGCAAGTTGCCCGCAACGCATGTCAGACGCGGCCAGGAACAGCCGTCCGCGGCCCGCGAGCAGCTGACGAATACTCCGTTTGCGGGCGACAACAGTGATGACTTGCGGCGTGCCGTCGCACAGAGTGAACATGGGCATAAGTCTTGGTGCAGCGGCCGCTTTGGCGGCACAAAATAGGTGGTCGAGAAAAGGGATAAATTTAATTGTTCATTTTTATTTCTTTTCTTCTTCCTCGTCTCCTTTCTTCGGAACGGTGTGGAAGGGATGCTAGAGACCGGTCTCACTTGAAAGTCTTGGCCAAACGCCCGCAAGAGCTCAGCATCCTCTCGCTAGAGGAGGGAATACCTAGGCTCTAGGCGGTGCTAAGCGGGTGTATTCTCATCGTGTCGTGTGGGTTGCTCGTTGTTTGAGACGAGAAAGGGTATAGTAGCCGTCATCTCATGTCTGACTGAAACGGAGGGGATTTGAGCTGATGATTTCCTGCAGCAAGGCGGGAACTCAAAGTCTGAATTTCGTGCGACGCTGGAGCCGTGGAGAGGCAGAGACTGAGAGATTAACTTTGGAACGGGCCAGGTTTGTTAGCCATTTCATCATGTCATGATTATGAATTCAGAATAGTATGAGAAAAAAGAGATCGCAGAGAAATGACAGGTTTGGACCTTGTTTTCTTAGTGATGTGACATTCAGACCAATCTAACCAAGCTGACCAACTCGTCCTTGGTGCGGCGGCCTGCAGAGTCAAAGTGTAATTGGTACTTGCCGTGCCTCCCTCAACATCGCCATGGACGCGAGCAAGAGCTCCTTCCCATCTGCCTCTGGTGGTGATATCAAACACCTAAGGCCAGATTGGGAAAGCGAACAGGGGTGACAGGCAGTCCCGCCGCTACCATCCTGATGGGAGACGGATAGGCCAGGAGCAGCCCGAGGAGGCAGCAGATGGCAAGGGCACTGGCCGAAGTGACCGAGTAACCATATTTTGTCATGATAAGCTCTCGGCCTCTGATTGGCCGATAGTACCCCGGCCAGAAAACGGCAGCCTCCCCCGGCCAGGGCCAAGCTGCTAATAAGGCACCTTAAGGTACAATGTAAGGTAGGTAGCGTGGTAGCGATGCTAGATGGGGGCGAGGTTTGCGTTTCGAGCCTTCTGAGCCTTCTTTGCTTTTTCTGAACCCCTGCCGTCAATCTCCATCCCATCATCCCTCCTTGTCCACCGAGACCAACAGAGCAACCACACGCTGGTTCACGCAACTTCAACACCTCACCTCCCATCACCGACGCCAGCCTATGGGGATGCGCTTTCCGCCTTCATTCTGTGCCTGCCACCAATCCTATGGTCCCTCACACGTCCGCCCCTCCGCCTAATGCCTGTGAAATGGCTCAGTGGTTTTCCTGCTAATCTGTGTCCCTCTGTTGTAACTTGTCGGAGCTGCTTTGGAACCAACGACAAACTGGCTTTGTATCTGTCCCATGCTCGCTCCTCGCTTGGCAGACTGGTCGAGTGTATCCGTAATGTACACGACTTGCGGCTACTCTGCCTGATATTACACTAGGTGTAGCTTTCCTTGATACAGAAATACTCCGACGCGCACACCCTGAGTTAAAAACCTGGTGCCTGCACCCACCTCGCCACATCGCCAATGCTTCATCTCGGCCTGCAGGGGCTGTCAGGTCGCCTTGCAATCTGTCCCACATAGACTGGCGTACCATCGGCTGCACCAAGCCTCCCCCGGCCGTTCGTTTGTTAACTTCCGTCGACCTACAGTCTGTTCGCACACCTTCGCTCGCCTTCCAGAACCACCACCACGATCGGCGCTGCACCTTCTTTGCGGCAAGCACTTTGCAACACGACCAACTAGTGCGCATTTACCTCGTAGATTCGCTGTTAGTCGGACTGCTAAGGCATGGCAATAGAGTTCGAGAAGCATCAGCTCAGAGACCGTGCTCAGATTGAGCTGCCTTATCCCCCACGGCGGCCCACGTCTGTATTCTCTCCAGGAGAGAGGGAGCTCATACAGCCCACCAACAGGGTTGGCCAGTGGTTCCAGCCCAGTTTATATTGATCAATTCTTCTCGTCATATAATGATTTACCAGGATATCTATCTCCCCGGATTAAAGGGGTTCCAATACCACCTCCGGGAACCACCTCCGGGCAACTTGTCACGTCATTCGACCAAAACTCCTGATCCGCACCAGGAAATAATACTGAGCTCCGCCTCCAAAGTGCCTGGCCTAGACCCTCACACCCTTTCTGGCTCCTGCAGGCAGCGAGTACCTTGACAAGACTAGTGCTTGATTATCTCGTCAGTAATGACATTACCAACGGGGGAATTGCGCCCCCATGTGCAGATACACTTGCCTCTGCTCGGAGCCATCCATTGAGCGTGATAACCGTCTACCACACAGGTTTGATGAGAGCTTGGTCTTCTTTGTCGCGGGCAGCCCAGAGCACACAGACTCTTCTTCTTATCTAGAGAGAACACACCGCTATACCGTCTCGGGCTAAATCATGGCAGTGTCTAGGGAACTTGCGGAGATTTGACTGCATCAATGGTGATTGGACTACGAGTTGCTGACTGGCCGGGAGGTGAAATTAAATCACACGCGTTGCAGATGCGCAAGCTAAGCTCTGTAACACTCGAATCTTGTGTTCCGAGAGGAAGCTCGTTTTGACCGTACCCTGCGCTCGCAAACTTGCTAGTCACAGCGGTAGTCGCTGCTCGCTCCCCAACTTACAATATCGGGCTTCACGGCCACGCTCCACGCATGTTCGGATCTCGAGGCAATAGCATATCCTGTCCCTACCGCGAACACGCGAACGCTGCCTTGGCATCGACCCCAGGCGTATACCATGGGTGGAATACGCTGCCCGGCTTCCCAGTGTATGGAAGCTAACGGAACGCGGATATTGGACATCTCAGGGTTACGTCTCCCCGGTCCCGGTGTCAATCTTATTCGCAATCAACATCGGATCTGGACTCTGCACCGCGATGAAAGCACGAATAGCAATCTCGCCTGCCATCCAGCCAACCGGTTCCTTATGGAGGACCTTGCTGCCCGAGTGTTGCCGAGAAGCAAAAAAGTCCGACGTCTGTCAACGATCTGGCCTGTTGCCAGCTGGGCTGTTTAGGGGGCCGTTTGAGTCCTGAAACCCACGCGTACATTATACTCTTGGGAACTAGCAGTGTTATGCCTGGAAAGCCATGCAATATTGGGTAGGCTTCAGTGCCTCCCTGAATGAACTCTCGTAGACGAGGGAAACTGGTCAGATCTCCTCAAGGGCAGTGCCGGACTACTCCGTCAGGGATAGCGGAGGAATATCAGTTTGACCGTGGATGGCTATTTCATGGGATTGTGCTCGAGACCGACCTCGAAGTGATATCGCTGCCTCCTCATTCTCCCATCTGCCGCAGGCCGGAAGTCGACACACCCCCCGTCTCTCGCTCTGGTTTGAAGAACCAGCCGTGGTGAGCGGTGGGTTCATTTCGGCTGAGTGCTTGCCTTGATCACACATGCTTCCACCGTTGCTTTGCGCCGCTGCCATGTTGAAGCTGTCCCTTCTTCTTGATCGTTTTGCGTGTCAAGGGTGTCGGAGTGCGTCTTGGATTGTAGAAAACCTCGAGGTCACACATCAACTGCCAATCAGTGGGCAGATGGCAGGTCATCGGCGGCGTCAACGCGAAAAGATGGCAGGCGATGAGCGCTACTGCAATTAATGTTTACTTTGCCTTGCTTGGTAGATATCCTACCTTTGTCTGCTGTCCCTGACAGTTGGCAACCTCACAATATCATAGTACTCTTCAAGCTTCTGCTGTAAGCTATGAAGAGAACTCATTGTATACCCAAGAGAGGCTGGCATCCAAAGCCATGACAATTAGGCCATCTACCCTACACTGATTCTCCCATACCTTGGACGACGGCGAATGTATTCAACACGCCTTTTTCAAATCTCATTGAAACTTCTTTGTGACTGTACTACCCCAAACTTTTAGCACCTCCATCAATCGTGTTCTCAACTAATGAGCGAACCCTTGGGCAAAAGCCCCCAGTGACCGCCACAGGAACACTTCCTCTGCTGCGACAACACAAACGTGAAGCCCGGCCTTGAGCCAAACACGTCCTCCATAACGGCTGAGCATCTCACGCAGCGCCTCCACTGCGGCGTCTTGGCGTCCTCGGCGTCCTTGCCGCCGCTACCGCTGCCGCTACCGCCGCCGCGAGTAGGAGACGGGCCGACGAGCTCGACGCGCTTAAAGACGTCAATGAATCGGCTCTTGGCCTTTCGCGTAGCTAGCGTTCGGCGGTCGTCATCGACCTCGAGGAGATCGTAGTCGGAGAAGAAGAGCTTGGATGGGTCGGCCAGCCCGCGGTAGGCCCTGAGGTCCGTGTTGAAGAACTTGAGCAGCACGCCGAGAAACGCGGGCGGCGGCGACGACGCGAGGAGCAAGTTGAGCTCGCAGTGGTTCTGCGCATTTTTGATCTGCGCGTCCACGGCCTTTTGCCCGCCGGTGGCGGGGTTCTTGCTCGCCAGGGACGCGAGGGAGCTCTGGTAGGCGGAGCGGATATCGTTGTTGAGGACGGTCAGGAGGCGGTCAAACTCCTGCACCTTGATGATGCTGGTCGAGGTGACTCGCTGCATCTTCTGATAGGCCTTGTAGAGAACGACGTGCAGACCTTTAGTCTGGGGGGACGGGTCCGTGGCGTTGTGCATCGCGGCCCGGCGCTCGTAGAACTCGATGGCGCGGTTCGAGAGGATCTCGAGGTGCAAGATACGGCGGCAGACGGCGGAGAGGAAGCCCCGGGCGGAGGAGCACAGGAGGAGGTGGAGGGAGACGTCGGAGCGCGATTGCAGGTAGGCGGTCATCTCGGAGAAGCGCTGCGGTGCGAGGAGGGCAAGGAACTGCGGGTCGTCGAGGAGGGCGAAGAGCGAGTCGGTGAGCCAAGCCAAAAGGTCGAGGGACCACTTTGCGCACCCCGCGAGCGCGTCGACGACCTCGTGCTCGTCGAGCGGGCTTAGTTTCTCACGGATGTTGACCGGAGTATTACTCGCGATCGTGATGAGGATTACGACGTTGCGAACATTGAGGGCCAGCATGGCAAACTTGCCGTCAAAGGTCCGGGGTTGGAACATGCCCCTGTATCCGAGGTGGTTTAGGATGCTGAGACACATTTGCAGCGAACTGTTTCGTACGAGACTGTCGTGGTGGGTGTCCTCTGAGTAGTCGATGGGGACCTTGAGCATGCGCACAATCTCGCTGATCCAGTCAAATGTGAAGCCTGCAAACTTTAGTGACGCATTTTAAACAGCGACTGGAATAACGTACGCTTCTTGTTCGCAAAAGGTCGAGCGACCGCCAGTATGTCGTCGTAATTGATGTTATTAAATGTCGCCGTGGACGCGGCTACTGTCAGGGCTGCCAAGGTGGCAGCATATGGCGCTACTTCTTCTTAGCCAAGGGCAGGAGGATATGAGCGGGATGGGGTAAGATACCGTCTTGGTTGGAGTTTCCTGTATCCCCTAATGGATAGTGAAGTCTACTCCACTTGACCTTGCCATCATCCTGAACCTTGACCACGGAACAGTTGGTGGGAGAGAATATCATTTGTAAGCCTAGGGCATCTTGTCAGCTCCATGGACTAGACGGCTTGCATAAGTTGGGCTTACATGGCGAATCATCCTGAAAAGTGAAGCCCACCTGATTCAACGTCATGACTCTATCGAGGTTCCTCTCGTTGTAGATTTCCTGCAGTGAAAACCTGTCGCGATATTCCACTGAGCCATCGCTGAATGCTAGGCAGACAACCTTGCTGTATTGAAGGGTATGAAGACCAATGACGGCCTTGTTTATCACCACGGGATCGCACTTTTTGAGTCGAGACGTGGGCTTGAACGATGTTAGACGGGAATTTCACATATCAAAGTCAAGTGACTCACAGCCGGGGCCGATCCTGTACTATTCCTGCGACTTCCAAGCTGTTCAAAGGCAGGATGGAGGCTTTGAGGCTGGTCGTTGATGACTTCCCACTTGTCGATGATACTTTGCGTCTCCTGATAGGGGGTATTGGGTGTTGGCACGTAAGTGCGAACTGTGAGGATAACGAGAGGGACCCAACCCTGGCCGTCCGGGCCAATAGTCGACGGCAGAATCTCTAGGTGTGTCAGTTGGGTCGCTGCTGAGTCTACTGGTGTTGTGGAGGGGCCGCTGGGTAACCAGCTGGAGGTGGCGACGTGTTTCTCCTGCAAGGTAGGGTTAAGAGCTTGACTTCCCGGCGGCGGCTTGTTATCGGATTGAGATTGCGGCAGTCCCCAGTGAATGCCAACTCTCACTACTCGTAGTTGCTTGTTGGTGGTGGCCAAGGCAACCCATAGGTTGCCTACATGGTGTTAGTTAAATTTTAACACAGGGATGGGATATACTTTCTCTTGTCACTATGCAGTGCTGCATGTGTGATCAAGTCGTCCGACGAGTTGACGCTCTCAAGCTCTAGTGAGGTTTCTTCAATTTTGTTGTTGTTCTGGGCCCAGAACATTTTCAGATGTCCATTTGTCGTCACACACAACAGAGCGCTCTTAGATGGATTCGGGTGCCACGGACCGAAAGCATGTACGAACGAGCTCTCGTACCTGTACTGGTTGCCGTCTTTCACAGCCGGTCCATGGCTCACATAGTACTGACCAGTCAATCAGCTAGGTGGAATGGCCACAAGGAGGGCTTGACTCACCTGCTTGCTCTGAGGAGCAAGGGGTAGCCAGTAGCTTCCGACAATGGCGTGGAGGTCGTCAGAGGGGTCATGGTCCCATTTCCGTGTTGCGAAAGGTCGATTCAGAGTGATGGAATAAGTTAGAATAGCAACTCGGCCAGTTGCGTCGATGACGGCTAATTCGGGGTTCGTTGTCGAGGCCCAGGCGAGGTGGATTATGGGGCTAGAAGGGTTAATACTGATGAGATCAACCTTTGTGGGCTCACTGAGACCCCATTCGCCATCGTCGGGGTGAGACCGTAGGAACCTGGCTTCCAGTGTCTTTCCATCTGGTGAAATGGAGGCGATTGCGCCGGATCTAGACCATGCTACTCCCCTACGAGCATTGTGAGAAATTGTGTACGCTGTGCATGATTAGGGGATAGTCCTCACTGGCAGCAGCCGCGGGTCCGCAGCTCATCAATCCTTTGGCGCAGCTGTTTTGTAGGAGGGCGTGCCGTGTGAAGAGACAGGCTGACGCCGTCACCAAATAAGTCATCAACGTCGAGCTGGTCGACCTGCATGGCCTCATCCATGCCGTTTTCGAGCATGAGTGGCATCTTCTCCTCGGTCATGTGTGCGTGTGTTGGTTCCGAGATATCGGGCCTGCGAGCAAACACAACTCAGGGCGTCAGCCACGGAGATAGGGCGAGGCTGGAGGGGTGGATTAAGGCAAGAGATCAAGAAGCTGGCAGAAGCTCATCTTGAGAGCCAGAGAGAGAAAAGTTGCCGTTTCATACAGTGGCTGGCACGCGAGCCCTTGAATGAGATTTGACAATTGTGAATTGCCGGTGTGCTGGCTTGATGGCTTGGAGGGTGCTTGGGTAAATGAGCAAGAGGCGCTCTAAGGTGTGGCTGAGAGGAAATTGGAGCAAAAAGCATGTAGGTTGATAATCGCTAGGTGGACCATGGTCAGCCTCAAGTTCACCTCACGCCCAAATAGAGGTAAGGAGAAGTGGAGAAATCCCACCATGGCGCTAAGCCAACTTAGGTATCTCAAAGGCCTGCAGGTGCCTTCAGTTGTACTGTTATGTGTGGCTGGTATGGTGTGGCTTGTGTGAAGACCCCAATTGCAAGTTGCACCTGGCACCCCAATGTTGAACGCTGTGGGGAAGTTGGACCCCGTGACGTCCGTCCAATGATCCCTGCAACCTGAGGAGGGCCGCGCCCCCCCATCGATCGTGACAGGGGGCCAAGGACGGGCATACGTGGACAAGCGGGCAGGGCAGAGAAGGTCAGTGTTCCCGGGCAACGGGCGTCCATCCCGTCCGGCTCGCCCGCCCTGTGCGTGCGGATGCACTGGTGTTGTGCTCTTGTCACTTTTTGGCCCCCCGCGACTCGGCCGCGTTTCAGCCGACCGCCTTGCACGCCGACGTGTTGTGTCTACGGACGGTGGCCGCAACAGGATGAAAACGAGAGCATTGTCCGCTCGAGGACCTACGGAGACCAATGGTAACTTGCAATGAGATGCCAACCGGTCACAGCCGCTCGCTTCCATCTAAGCTCAAGGACCTGTTGGCAAGGTTGGATTTAGTTGGTTTCCCCGGGTCCTCGGCGTCTACAGAATGACGTCGGTTTCGTCAACTCTGTTCGCGGGGGGAGATGAGATGAGATTTGCCGATCACACATAGCACTGTTCGTGGAAGTAATAACTCAATCACTACAACAGATGCAGATAGCGCTGGGGATGCACTTCATTCACGGTCGCGGTGGTACTCGAACCACATGTAGCCATGAGTGGATGAGATATATTGTGGTGTATCCGTCTAAGGTGTGTTGCTGCAGCTCACCGCTGGATCGACAGGTCACTGACAGACCGAAGACAGCCGCCGTAGGCTTATTCCAACGCGTGGCTCTCGAAGCCTACCTCTTCCCTTCCATTGTCTCGAATTCGGTAATAGATGACCCAATAAATAAAAATATCAGAACGAGCAAGGAACAGTCGATTGACTTGAGCAAGGCTTTCATGTAGCTCCGACTGGATCTAGTAGAGGTCAGTGGGTGAACATTGTCCGAATGCCCTCCAAAGGTAGCTCTCTCTCTGGGATAGAGTAACAAAGTCAGAGAAACCCAACGAGTCATTTTTGTTTTTCATACAGTGACGAACAAAAAAGGAGACGGACGTACAGGGGAGTGATGCGCTTCCTTTTACCTCATGTCTACTGCCGCCTCTACTCTTTACTGATGTCACTATCCAATCAACATTTCAGAGACCCGCGAGCGCCCTTCAGTAATACAGAATAAGCATCCATGAGAGGGAAGCGTCGAAAGACAGCGGAAAACACACTGTGATCCTGTACCATGTCAGCCTCGTTCTTGTTCATATTTGACATGCCGCATGACAAAGTGAGTTGAAGAAGAGGGGAACGAACACCAACGAGAGGGGGCGAAGGAGGCCGGAGGGAGGCCGGAGTGCATGGGCCACTCTGATGTACCTCGAGCACGCATGAAGGCGGAAAGGTACATGGAGTGGAGTAAGGTAATTGCTAGGAGCAACAACTCTTCGGAATCAGAAGCAGGAGCAGGAGCAGCCGAGAGTAAAATGCTGAACTCCCGTCGACTTTTTGACCGGACCCAATGGGAAATTAAGCGACTCTTTGGAGACTGGAACCAAAACAGAAGAAGCGCGTGCGCACCGAACCCAGACTTCAGCAGCAAAGCACTAGCCACCCTTTCTGCCTCCCCCCGTGTTGCCCGTCTCCCTCCCACCTTTCTCGCACGCGCGCTCTCTTTCTCTTTCCCTCCCTCTCCCTCTCCCTCTCTCTTTTGCTCTCCCGTCTCTGGCTCCTAACCTTAGGTAATTGCTAGCCCACTCGCCCGCCCGCACCCTCCTGCCGCGCCGGCCCTGACTGGATCTGATCTGCTGCCACCGCTGTTCGGCCTTTTCCTGACCTGTGTTGACGGCACTTCAGGCCCAGCTCTGGCCCGCCTCCTCTCGCTTCCTCTGTTCCAAGTCACGTCCGCTCCCCTCTCCTCCCGGAGACCCCCCGTGCCCCCTTCTCCCTCTGTGCCCCTTCCATGTACGTTTGCTTGCAGACGCTGCTACGGCTATGTACTTGTTAAGGTACCCTCGCCCGTCCGCTCTCCACACTTTGTTCTTCTTCAACGACGCTTCTTCTCACTTTCCCGCCAACAACGAAAACCCTTTCAACCCACCCCCGGAGAAAGAAGCTCATAGTCCTGGAAAACGTCGAACAATGGACATGGTGTAGAATACATTGCCCATGTTCCCGCAAATCTTGTCCCGGATATTTTTTTCCTTCTCTCCTCCATCCCCGACCACCACCGATACCGACATCAAAATGGACGCAACACCTTCCTCCTCAAGTATGGCCGTCGACGCGCATCACCAGCCCTCATCTCCCTCGGATTCGCCTCTTTCTTCACCTCTGTCGGTGCTGTCAAAATCACCCTCAATACCCTCATCGCCAGAAGTCGCTCTCGACGCGTCCAAACGATACCCGTCACCCACCTCCTCAATGCCCTCAGGCGCTCAATCACCAATCAAGCTCGAGGCGACTGACGACTGTGTGCCCGTGATCAAGCTCGACGACGCTGCCGACTCCATCAATGTCAATGCCAGCGAAGCCACTGATGGTCAGCCTGCCCGAAAGCGGCGTAAAGTCACGCCTCCCAAAGAGCGCACCACAGAGTACCTGAACCTGGGCGAATGTAAAGAAGACGATGGAAATTTGGCGCGTTTAGTTTCCGCGCTCAAGAAGCGCAAGAAGATTGTCGTCATTGCAGGCGCTGGAATATCAGTTTCGGCCGGCATCCCCGATTTTCGATCCAAGACTGGACTCTTTGCGACACTACCGAATGAGCACAAGGTCAAGGGCTCAGGCAAGCACCTTTTCGACGCCTCGGTCTACAAACATGACTCCTCTACCGAAAAATTCCACAAAATGATTTGCGACCTGGCTACAATGGTCAAGGCCGCCAAGCCCACGCCCTTCCACCACCTGCTGGCGTCGCTGGCCGCTGAAAACCGCCTCCTTCGTCTTTATAGCCAGAACGTTGACTGTATCGAGACAAACATGGAACCCTTGAAGACGAACGTGCCGCTCAACGTCAAGGGTCCTTGGCCCAAAACTATCCAGCTGCACGGAAGCGTCGACCATATGGTCTGCTCAAAGTGCACCGACATTCAGCCGCTGAAAACAGAGCTTTTCGTGGGCCACGAGGCTCCACTGTGTGAAGAGTGCAAGACTATCGACCAACTCCGCACGCAGTTTGAGCAGAGACGAAGTCACGGTATTGGCCGCCTACGTCCCAGGATGGTGCTTTACAACGAATTCAACCCGGACGAAGAAGCAATTGGTAAAGTGTCGAGTGTTGACTTGAAGTCGCGTCCTGACGCGGTCATTGTTGTTGGCACCAGCCTCAAAATTCCTGGCGTGCGGAGGCTCGTGAAGGAGCTGTGTCAAGTCACGCGCAGTCGCAGAGATGGCTTCACTGCATGGATTAACACGGATTCGGAGCCACAACACAACGATTTTAAAGACTGTTGGGACCTTGTAGTTCGTGGCAAGTGCGATGACGTGGCTCACTGGGCTGCTTTGCCCCGTTTCGACGTGCCTCAAGGCGACCAGTCGGCCTATCTCAGCGAGGGAGAGGAGCGGAGGCGCCAGGACAGACTAAGCAGGGACAATCTCGAGGTGCAGCTCATTTCGCCTACGCCTACGCCTGATTCACCGTCCAAGTCTATGCCAAGCACTACGTCGGATTCAAGGAAGCGCAAGCTCATCGACCCGGTCCAGAGCATCCCGACACCCACCGCCAGCCCGAAGATCAAGGCTGCCGAGGCTGCGAAGAAGGGTCTCAAGGCGAAGCAGAGCAAGCTTTCCTTTGGTGGCCAGCAGGCTGCTGCTCCAGGGAGCGACGCGGCATTCAAGAAAGTCAAGAAGGCGCCTGCAAAGAAGCCCCGTAAATCCAACAAGAAAGCCACGAACCCCCCCAAGAACAGCGTCACACAGACTTTCAAGACGCAGAAGAACCGCGAACTTGCCGATATGCCACAAGAAACCTTGGCTGGCAAATTGGACAGCCAGCACTACCTAAAATATGTTGAAGACAAGCTTCAATCCCAGCTTCCACCCTTGCGACCGGCTCAGAAGCCTATACAAAGTTTTATATACAAGCGTGCGGAGAACAACGATGACGAGGGACAAAAGGAAGAGAGTCCATCGTCCACACGACCTTTTGAGAAGATGTCGAGGCCGTCACTTTTGAAACGGCCAAAGTCGTCACCTAGTTCTGGAGACAGCAACGATGTACGCCCAATGACGCCTGTGCATATCCGACGCAAGTCGGCCGACACGATATCCCCCGAGTCGATTCCCCGAGGCATGGAAGCCTTGATGGACTGATTGCAGCTATGGGAGAGTCGTCATGACATGAACTCTCGGCATTGATCGCGTTTTGTTATTCATATTCATAGAAGGCGGCGACCCGTAGGTACCGAAGAGTTCGGGCCACGCAACGCAGGGGACCGTCTACGGAGATTTATCTTATCACGAACGGAGTTGGCATGGATTACGTCTCGCATTACTTATCTTGTACATACCCATTTCAGTATCTGCCCATCTGTATAAAGCAGCGGTCACTGAGCTTAAAATGCTCATACACAAGCTGTTATGTGGGCTCCACAAGCGAGGGCTTCGTTTGGGGCGAGCGGACACTGGGAAAAGTCTACCCCCGAGACGGCGAGATCAATGGTGGGATAGAGGTGGCCCGAGTCCGACATAGAACGGACATGATCATTAATATACCACATTGCGCGGGATGCCCTGTGTCTCTTGATACCTTACGTTCTGATACATCTCTTCGTGATGGTGTTTAATGACTGATAGCGTGGAGAAAGTCGCGGCGGACACCATGCTCGCTGACTTGGTCGGATCCCACCGTCTGGTAGACGTAGGTACCGGTATGAGTTGATCCGCGGACTAAGGGGGAGAAAGCCCCGGCACGAATTTCCAGGGAATAAAGTCAGTGTGGCGCGAACCACCGAGACTTGGGCGTCGCCGACTGTTCCAGATGCACATTCAAGGGTATCAAAAGTGATTCGCAAGGCTTTGTTCTGACGCCGCAGTCTCGTCTTGATGTGCTATCTGGTCTGTAAACGGTGTACATAGAACATGTCTTCCCACACACACCCACTCGAGCCTGGCTAGTATACTTCGGCATAGATAAAACCACCTGCGCGGGCCTGCGCATTATGCTCACGGATCAGGGCGCTCGCATTCTGACCACCGAAATAACCGTACACATCAAGGCCATTGCTCTCGTTTCGGTGCCGACTCTCTTCTTTTCGCTGTGTGAATGTTCTATTACGAACATGGAAGCCCATCCATCCCTTTGCGCTGGATATATCAGACAAGAGCCGTATCTCATTTTGGTGTGACCGACCCTGAGTATAAGCCAACACCGTGGGGACAAAGCTCTCCAGTCTACTACGCCGCGACCAACCAGACTGCGCGGCTCGCACATGGACAAGGCCGACGTCATGTGACCAACCCGGAGCCAGCCAGCAAGGCTCGCCTTCGTCAACGCAGCGAACAGAGCGGGACCAGTTTGTGTGTCCTCGTCTCGCCAAAACTCAAACGCAGAAGGTGAGACATGATGATTTCGCAAAACTCCAAAAACGAGTCCGTCCTGTACCATGCAAGTCCGGGTATGTAGTTTATCTTATCATTCCCTCAGCCACAATGAAAATGCCTTTCCCACCTAGTACCGAAAACGCCATGCCGATGCTGAAATTAAACACGTATCGTGACTGGATCGAGAATGCGCAAAACTGAAAAACGTCTCCCAATCCGAGCTTTTATGAATGCGAATCCTAGGAAGCCGCTGCGGTGCCATTCGCCGCCGCGGCTGTCGGCTTATCTCCGTTGTGCTTCTTCACTTCTCTGTCCCGTAGGACTCTATACATGGCGCTCAGCCGGTCACCGGTTACTTCGTTGCTGGTGCTGTCAACAGGCCACAGATTCGCTAGAAATTCCCTAGATACACGTTAGCTCTGCCTGGGACGTAGGATAGCTGGCGGAATAGACGTACCAGAAGCGATTCTTGAGCGCATGGTCTCGCTCCTTGACGAACTCGCGATCCAAGAAGTTGCCAATCACAACCAACTCCTCGCCAAATATTCTAGCGCGTTCCTTACTAGACTTGATTCTCTCCTTTGTCGTGACAAGAATCGCCTCAAAGTTTGCTCGAACTGGTTTCAGCAAGTACCACAGCATTGCATCCGCGTCTTTCTCACGTTCTTCTTTGTTATCACCCATCTTCCGGAGTTGATCGAGTCGGTGGAGGGCTTGGTTGCGACGCTCATTATCTGGTTGATTTGCTCGCGGCGTGTTGCTCGACCGGCGTCGGTCATCGCCATGCCGGTGGTCCTCTGGGCGACGATGTTTGATACTCCGCTCAGCCTCATCGCGATGCCTTGGTCTGTCAGCTCGAGGAGACTGTTGCTCATCTCCATTAGTCTTGGTCCGCCGGGCTTCGTCCGTTCTCCGGTGCTTTGGAATGCGGCCTTCGTCATGGCCTGAATGTTTCCTCTTCGAGTCCGGCCGTGGCGTACCCTTCTCGTCAGCGTTGCTGCGGCTGCGGTGATGATCAGCGTGGCTGCGTTCTCTGTCCCGATGTGAGCCGGTCTTTTTGAGGGCCGGTGGAGCAGGAGATGCCGCGCCACTGCCAACGTCGCTTCGACGGTGTCCGTTCGCCAATCGCTTGTTATTGCGATGGTGATTCTCGACAGTTCTATGAGCCAAGGGGTCACTGGAGTGCTTGGCCGCAAGCACAGAGAGCAGGTATTCCGAACGACGAACGAGGTGTACGGCACCTGGGGAGTTGACTCCCTTTTCAGTCGCTTTGTTTCGTTCTTCCTTCTTCTCGATGCGATGTTCCTCAAGGAAGAATTTGTCCGACATATCCAGCGTGGCATCGTCCCGGATTTGAGTCCAAGCCCCGAATCCGTACCTGTCAATGCCAACCAGGAGCATGCCATCTTCTCGCGCGCCCCATTCACATGAATAGTGGGCAGCCTTGGTCGCATCAGCGAGACGGAATGTCTTGAAGTCATCGCTCTTCCGTATGGTTTGCCTCAGCAGGCGAAGTTGTTGAGGACGTTCGACCGCAGTCTCAGCATTCATCTTCCTGACCTCGCCGAAATCAACCAAGACAGCCTTCTTGTCCTTCTTTGTCAACGACTTGCCAAGTTTCCGCTCGTCGTCCATTAGACGCGTGTTATTGTCATTGAGCGCATCTTCGCATCTCTTTACAAAATCATCCATGATCGACTTGAGAAAACCGCGATCGCGTTCTGCGAGGCGTGCTTCCTGCACGATCTCGTCGCCGCGGTCATCCATAGAGCCGTACCTGAAGAAAGCTTTGAGAAGATTTCGGGTCTCCTTCTCATTAAGTGGGCGCTTGGGGTCCGATAGCAGGGCACGTTGCTCCTCGGCCTCTTGGCGTTGTTGTTCCTCTCTCTGCCGTTTCTTCGCGAGGCGGTCGGACCTGTCCGTCTCATTTCGATTCTTCATTGCCGCTCTCCGGGGAGCGCTCTCGGCAGCGACCTTCGCCACGTACTCCTCGTTCTTCCGTTGCTCTTCATCGGCTTTGATGACGGCAAGTTCCTCAGCGGGAATAATCTGGTCCCAGTCAAGGGCCAAGTCATCCACCTTCACGTCGGTATATTGCATGAAATTGTCCCAGTCAATACCACCACTGCTGAGATTCATCTTGTCATCTACCTTGGTCTTAGTGATTTCGGCATTCTCCAAGATGGAGTCGATGTCAAGTTGTTCAAGACGCTCTTGGTTACCGCTTTGCTCAAACATTTTCTGCGAGCGCATCTTGAGAATAAGCTGGATGTCTTCGGCAGAGTTGGGTCCGTCAATTTTGAGGCCCTTCTTGTTCATCTCGTCACGGAAGGCCTTGCCGTCATCAGTTACGCCAGCTTGAATAGTCAGGTACTCGAGCAAAAGCTTGTTGCGAGCGCGCTCGAGCACTTCTTCTTCAACGGTCTCCTTTGACACCAAGCGGTAGATGCTGACGGGCTTCTTCTGGCCGATACGGTGCGCGCGTCCCATGGCCTGCAAATCAGCCTGGGGGTTCCAATCGGAGTCAAAGATGACTACAGTATCGGCCGTCATCAAGTTGATACCCAGGCCACCTGCTCTGGTGGATAGAAGGAAGCAGAAGTCGTCGCTGTCTTCAGCATTAAAGTGATTGATGGCCATGCGGCGGGGACCGGCGGCGATGGTGCCGTCGAGACGTTGAAACTTGTAGCCTCTGAGTGCCATGTAGTCGCTGAGAATGTCGAGCATCTTGACCATCTGACTGAAAACGAGGACTCTGTGCCCGTCCTTTTTTAGCTTTGTCAAGAGCTGGTCGAGAAGCATCATTTTTCCACTGCTGGCGATGAGGCCCTTGATCTGGTCTTCTCGACGGGTACTGCCGGCGAGTACTCTCTCTTCGGCACCGGCAAACATGTATGGGTGATTGCTGACTTTCTTTAGCTCCATCATGATGTTCAACAGCGAGTTTTTCTGGCCAGTTGCGCTTGACAACGCGGCATAATTCCTCGTGAGAATGTTCTTGTAGTAATCCAGCTGCACATCCGAAAGCTCAACACGGATAATCTTCTCTGTCTTCGGCGGAAGATCTGACTCAACTGTCTCTTTCGTGCGTCGCAAAATGTAAGGGGCGATCGACTTGTGTAGGTCCTGTAGCTTTTCTTGCGTATCATTGCCCGCAAGATCCTCCAACTCTTCGTCAATGACGACCTTGCCAGGGTTGAGGAAGTCCATCAGTGCGGACAGCTCGGCCAGGTTATTCTGAATGGGGGTGCCGGTAATCAAGATTTTGCAAGGCACACCGAAACTGACGAGTCTCGCGTAGAGTTGAGACTCCTTGTTCTTCAAACGATGGGCCTCGTCCACAAGAAGTGCTTGCCACTTGATCTGCTGAAGAAACTGCCAGTCTTGGAGAATCATCTCATATGACGTGATGAGGGCGTTGAACTTTGGCTTCTTCGGGTTGCCATTGATCATAAGCTCGTTGTCACGGATGGTACTGCGGGAGGCCTCGTTGCCGAGATACACGACGTAATTCATGTCTGGGGACCAATTGTCGAAGGTGTCGCCCCATGCCGGAATGACACTCAGAGGGGCAACGATGAGAAAAGGTCCCTCTTGCTCGCGTTCATTACGAAGCCAGCTGAGGAACGATACGCTCTGCACAGTTTTCCCGAGACCCATTTCATCAGCAAGGATGACATTGTTGGCGCGAGTCCAGTTGAGGCACAAAAAGTTCAAGCCCCTGAGCTGGAATGAGCGCAGTTCGCCATTTTGGATGAAGTCGGGTTGCG